GAAGTCTTTGATTGTATTCTTCTTCTGTTTCAGCTGCTCTTTGTGCTTGCATTCTTTTAGCGGCAGAAGACTTTCCATAGAAAGGGCATTTCTTGGGTGGCATAATCAAAGTGGTTTCATAAGTGATTTAGTAACTTTGTGAATTGCAAATTATTGTTTAGTGATACAGGTTTTCTTTAAATAGTGCTCTGTTTTTGGAAATACTGAATTGACAGCAAGGTGACTTCAGTGTCTCCTGCCATAACGATTTCTATGTGCAAAACGTGCTTATGTTTGTATGTTTATCACAACAAATGGTGCAATAATCATTAATTGTCAATTTCGTCATTAAATACTACATCAAATACAAAATACATAACACCATTAAATGTTTTGTAAAAAACTGGTTATTATGAAGTTATATTAAAATTTATAAGTTCAAACGTTTGGTTCCCTATAGCGAACAAATAAACAAACTTCTTCTTTTAATATCAATGTTTGTTTAGATTAAATTTATATTTAGAAACATACATAGCTTATACTGTTAAATATGTATTGCGATACTCCCGTCTATTCTCCAAAGTTGTTAGCATCAGTATTGTTACTCAAAAATGAATTTTCTAGAAAGCCTCCACACGCCTATAATTATAACCAACGCGCCAAAAAAGGAGTGTATATTATTAGTTTGCTATAGTCAGTGTGCTTTAAACTTTGGAAACTATAACTGTGATTGTTATAGCGCTAATCAATCGGAAAACTTCAGATATTTGACCAGGAGCATTTACAAAGTTCTAACATAACAACTCATTTAACTTCAGTGGATTCTCATCGGACATTAGTGTTTCCCCGAAAACATTACAAAACGTCACGTTGGAAAAACCGGCATGTGTGGTTGGTAAATAACGAAGGACAAAGCTAGCTTCCCGTTAAGTGAATTATACCTACATCAACTCGTAATCAACTTGCTCATTGTGAACCCTCGATAAGATATCGAAAAAGTTCCAGACTAAAAGGAAGACTTTATATTGCTTGTAAGCTTGTGAAATTTTTGTTTATAAATCATTGTTTGTAACTATTTGTAATAACTGTCATAGTAAATTGTATTGTGATGTGAATATTAAAACGCATTTATGTTAAAAAAGAAAACTGTGTGTATCAATCTTGTTAGCAGATATCATAAACTGACTATATATCGGGTTTTACTTAACTACTAAATCCAAAGTACAAATTAACTACTAACTTTAAATTTATCAGTTAACTCAATTTCAGACCCTTTGAAATTCTAATATGTAACATGGTGTTTAATCTCTGTTGGGTAAAATTTCTGTGACTGTGCTGAGATCATAGAATTATCCACTTTACAAGAGCGATTATATTTATAACTTGCCGAATGCGCAGTTGTTAAAAGTCATAACAAAGTTGTATATGGTTTATTCAAGCATTATTCACCTATTGATTCCAGGCTAATGTAGCCCACCGCTACTATTCACAAAGTTTTAAATCATCGTTGCACGCTATGGTATTATAAATAAACAAGTCGCAAAAATATGGAAATTGTGTGAGTGATTTGTATTTTCTCTAAACTTTCAAAAAGAAGCTGTCCTAAGATATCTCGAGGAACATTTTTGACAGACAAAGTTAACAGGTAAATTACACTTATAAGCGTGTCCTGATGGCTCATCAGTGAGCTTGATGACTTATAGCGCTAAAATTGGGATTCAATGCTCAAGGCGGATTCAGCGCAGATAAACCATTATGTTGTTTTATACCTAAAACTATAAATATTTAAAAGCTGTTGTTGAACTGAACAACTTGCTAGACAACAATTATTCCCCACTTGTTCGACCTTGTCAACAAAGCAATATATATTGTTACGTCATCGGAGGTCATGTGACACTAGTATCACGCCACAAGCTTCTCGAACGTTCACGTCCCTTCCTGAAATATCAGGAGTTTACTAGATCTCGGTATTCTTTTATATATAAGACGGTCACAACGTGACGACAAGAATGTAATGAGTAATTGAATGCATGCGGACAGAGAATATTGTTGGGCACGTGAGACGTTCGTTGTGAGTTATAGCGTTCGTTATACCGCGACTGTTGGAATTAAGTGTATTGCAAAGTTGTATTCAGAAAGAATAAACTAGTTTTATTTAAGAAAGGACTTGTATCGTTAGAGTTTCTTCGGAAATAATTTTTACGGAAAATTAACTAACAAACGGAGACGTAACAAATTGGTGTCAGAGAGTGGGACGGAAAACAAAAGGAAAAAATGGAAACGAGAGGCGGCAAATCAAACTAAAGCTTAGCAGATTTGATGGCAGCAATACAAGAACAGCAAAAGAAACAAGAAGAGAGACAACAACAGTTGCAAGAAAACCTGCAACAGTGGCAGCTAGAACAACAAAATAAAGAAGAAAAGAAACAAGAAGAGAGATTATAGCAGTTGTTGGAGGAAAAAGAAAAGTAACAAGAAGAGAAATTACAGCAGTTGTTGGAGGAAAAAGAAAAGAAACAAGAAGAACGAGAAAATAATCAAGAAGAGAGATTACAGCAGTTGTTGGAGGAAAAGAAAAGTAACAAGAAGAGAAATTACAGCAGTTTTTGGAGGAAAAGAAAAGAAGCAAGAAGAACGAGAAAAGAAGCAAGAAGAACGAGAAAAGAAACAAGAAGAACGAAAAAAGAAACAAGAAGAAAGATTACAGCAGTGGCAAGAAAACCTACAACAATGGCAGCTCGAACAGCAAAATAAACAAGAGAGACTACAGCAGTGGTTGGAGGAAAAATAAAAGAAACAAGAAGAGAGACTACAGCAGTTGTTAGAGGAGAAAGAAAATAAACAAGAAGAGAAATTACAGCAGTTGTTGGAGGAAAAACAAAAGAAACAAGAAGAACAAGAAAAGAAACAAGAAAAGAGACTACAGCAGTGGCAACTGGAACAAGAAAGGAAACAAGAAGTACAAACGGAAAACATTAGTAAATTTAAAAGCAAATTAGATACGTTAAAGGACGATTTATTGTCTTTTACACAAGGAGGATACATTAACCATCGACTTAACCAGCCTCAGACAATGACAAGCCCCTTCCAGACCCTGCAGCTAAACCATAATGCAGACATACTCAGTCCTGTTAGAAGTCACATCCCAGATATGAATGTCAGCAATAGGGGTGATCCAATACGAATGAAGCCACAGGAATTCGATGGGAAGGCACCGTGGGAAGCATATAGAGCACAATTTGAGCTACTGACAGAAATGAATGGGTGGACAGAGGAACAGAAAGCAGTATATCTGGCAACGAGCTTGAAGGGACAACCACTGGAAATACTTGGACAGTTGTCAACAGACGACAGACACAACTATAGAGC